CTCTGAATTTTGCAATGCACTTCTTCAGCAACACAAAATGTACAAAGAAGCATCTACTGAGGTAAACTGTCCATAAAAATGCACGATAGTGAAATTAACAAACAAACTTGCATTATTTTAGGGGAAACTGCTTTTTTTAAAAGCCATGTACGCTAGGCTGCATACAAAAACTGCATACAAATGCATATATTCGGAGAAATTGGCAATGAAATGCTTATGAACCTTATGAGGACTTAAAAAAAAAAAATCACAAACAGATGACAACTGAACTTAAGCTTGGAAAAACAAGAAACTGAAAGAAACCAAAACTGACAACCTAGCAACATGAAATATATTTTGAGTCAATGCAATCCAGTTCAGCCAAGCCACACAATTATCTTCCATATGGTTTTAAAGCCAAGGCCTCCACAAAACTAGAAATGTGGCAATCCTTAACGTGTTTGCGGTCTCCCACAGGATACTTACTGCAACTTACATCCAAGTTTGCTATTTCTGTTGGCTGCCCAAAACTCAAATTCAATTGTGTTTTTGGTAAAATAAAATAAAATAAAATAAAATAATTATCTAGCAGGATTAAGGCCCTACAGCAGGTGTTCCAGTTAGGGTTGTCTCCAAGCTACCAGGTGTCCATGGACACAGACTCTTCCCCACTCCCTTTCCTCAGGCTACACTCCTCCTGCTTCTTTGCCTCACCTCTTTCAAGTCAAACAAATATGGCAACCTCCTATTGTCAATTAAAAGCAATACAAACATCTCTCTTTACCAAGGGCAACCCCACTGCGTGCTTACTTTCCCTGGTACAGTATAAGGCAGCTTTCTATATTTCTTCCTAGTGGGCAGATATGTGAGGAGATCAAACATGGCTGCCACTTTGAACTGAGCCTGTAATAAGTGTGGGTGGTATCCAACTAAGCCTTGCTCAGAGAAGACCCATTGACATTAATGGACATGTTATTTTTAGTGTGCCTACTGCCGGCAGAAGGGATGTGGGTGGCGCTGTGGTCTAAACCACTGAGCCTCTTGGGCTTGCCAATCATCAGCAGTTTGAATCCATACGACGGGGTGAGCTCCTGTTGCTCTGTCCCAGCTCCTGCCAACCTAGCAGTTTGAAAGCACACCAGCGCGAGTAGATAAATAGGTACTACCGCGACGGGAAGGTAAGTGGTGTTTCCATGAGCTCTGGCACTTGTCACGATGTTCCATGCACCAGAAGTGGTTTAGTCCTGCTGGCCACATGACCCAGAATGCTGTCTGTGGATAAATGCCGGCTCCCTCGGCCTGAAAGCAGAGATGAGCACTGCACCCCATGGTTGAATTCAATTGGACTTAACCATCCAGGGGTCCTTTACCTTTACTGCCAGTAGAACCTAGGTCAATACCACCCAAAATGTATTCACTATTCACAACAGTCTTCTCTCTTCTATCACAACTTAGCAAATTCCAGGCCCCAAAAGTATGTTCAGACTGAGCTCTGGTGTCCATGACTACCACAAGAGTAAGTCTGTTTCAGAGAGAGAGAGATGTCTCACGCAGACCCCCTCAATGCCCCTATTTTCCAGTGACAGCCCCAGATTTACAGAAGCCATTCCAGTTTCTGATTTCATCCCAGAATGTCCCACTTTTCCTTAGGACTTCCCTATTTTCATTGGAGAAATGTTGGAGGGTATGGTTTCAGATATGACAGAAGTAATATATGGAATTCCCAGCATCTATTTCCTGCATGGTAAGAAGCCAAGGTCTCCCTAAGCTTGATACAGGCCATAACCAATCTCCACAGCTCCCTAGACAAAACCCAGGGGATCTAATTTCGAAGCGACAAAAAAGATTTTGCTAGTATGGTCACAAAAACTGTGCCTCATCCATTATACATGGGGAACAGGCTGTGCTTCTCTGCATTCATTACTCCATTCCAGCCATCACCATTCCACAAAGAGTACATCATACATCAGCCCAAGAGATGTAACATTTATTTGTAATGTAACTCAGGAGTTGATGCTAGACCATCAAGTTTTAATATGCAGTGATGTTACTGTGAGTGTGTTGTGTACGTGTGTATTTCTTTTCCTACAATTACTGCTGTAATGCCATGATTTATTTATTATTATTTTTTTAAAAAAAACATGTTTATGGGCTCATTTAGATACCCACAATCTTATACCTTTGGTGTTTATTTCTGGTTGACTTTAACTGGTGTTTAAGTGACCCCAATTCTTTAACTGTATTCTGTGATCACATTCCATACATGCTCACTATAAGGACCAGGATTAATCCTGAGAGATATTGGTTGTCATTTTCTTTCTTTTTATACATTTTTTTTTTGTGTGTGTATATATATATATATATATATATATATATATATATATATATATATATTTGACAGTGTGAATAGATGCTTAGAAGTGTAAGGCTAGCCAGGAGATTTTTTAAAAAATAAATATTATTAACATGAACACATAGAAATAAAGTAGAAGTGATAAGTGTAACAGATAAAAATGCATATAGAAAATATAAAACAGAGGTACAATGGAGAGGAAAACCTAGGAAACAACTAAGACTACAACACTGCATTCAACTATCACATATGAAAAGGGAGAGGAGGGGGAGTAAATTCAGTCTCAGTAAAACCTCTCCACATATTTATCTGTGGAACAGGAGGTTTAGTGGGCTGTTCAACTGAGTTAGTGTCAGGGAAGAGTTAGAAGTTTCCAGTTTCTCAGAGGGAGAAAGCATTCCCCAAGGGGGGAGGGAGAGCAGTGAATCTAACAGAAGAGAGCAAGAGGAACAACAGGGAGGGACCGGCTGTTCACAGGAAAGGCAAGGGTTAAGTTCTAGCTCAGATTGGGAGGAGGGAAGATACAGGCCAGCTCTAGCCAGGAGGTTAGAAAAAAGAGCGGGAAAGCGAAGGGAAAGGCGTGTTCGCCATTTTGAGGGTGGCTGGTCATGGAGAAGCAGAGCTCAGAAGGTATCTGAAATAAGTGACTCTGAGGAATAATAGCTAAGAACCGTTTATAAGACTGTTTTGTTAATACGCAATAGAAAGTTTTATAAAAGAACAAGAAGCGTTTGTGTGGTGATCTGAAGAGGACAACGACCAGTCCTGACAGTTAGCATAGGAGAAATACTTACACCATGCTGAGTAAAAATAATCTATTTTTAATGAAGCCTTAAGGACGCTCCATTTGTACGGATGAAGGGCGGTATACAAATTTAATAAATTACAATATAACATAATATACTAGTAATATTAATATTAATATGTCAGATGTTCTGACAGTGCAACGTCCCATACTTTCACCAGCCACTCCTCTTGGGAAAGAGTTGATTTGGACTTCCAGTGGGAAGCCACAGACAATCTGGCTGCAGCAAGAAGCCTAAACACAAGAGATTTACGTATGATGGGCAAATTGGTACCATGCTGCCAGGGCTGAGTCTGGGGAGAAAGTTCAGTGTTTCCAGAGGAGAGTTCTGCAGATTTTTAATGGTTTAGGATGGGATTTCTAATGTAGCACTACAAAAAAACAAAACCCTCCCACAAAACTACTTCTTGCAACCTGTTCCGCTTCTCACTCCACTGTAAGTGTGGGGCTCCCCCCCCCCTCCATGGGTCCCATGTGCCCACTGAAGGTAATGGGGCCCTTTATATGTCCAGCTGCCCTTTGTCAACAACAAATTGTTCCTGGTTTTTTGTGTTGAATATATGCTATATGGTAATTTATGGACCTGACAGGTATCTAAAGCCATTTGCACATGTTGCCATGCAACCAGTCCATGCAGAATGTAGGGACCCTATATATAGAAATGAGCAAACCAGTTATATTTTAGGGAGCAGGCTAGCAGGTGGGGCCTATTACTTACATCATAGGAGCCTACACAACACAAAACCCTGTTGCTTTATGTAGGTTTTATTTTATTTGTTTTTTATCTTCTATTTTGGAAATGTAGACCCAGGGTTTTTTTCCCTTTAATTTTTTGGGGGGCCCCAAGAGAGTGTGGCCCTAAGCTACGGCTTGTTTAGCTTATACGTAAATCTGGCACTGCTCATTTCCCATCTTTGGATAGCCATCAAGTTTCCCTGTTTACTTGGTTGCATATCTTTTGCATACCCTCCAACACCCCACTGTTCAAAATCAGAATGTTCATTTTTTTGGTCTTGAGCTCTCACGCGGACCAGCCAATATATATAAGAGTGTGAAACAAAACAATGAGCATCATTTGGTCCAGAGATCTGGCATAAGCCAGCTGTCTCATGCCAGAGTGCTGGACCAAAAAAACCTGGGTGGATTCTGTGATTCCAGGTTGTCCTGCTGAAATCAGGAAGGTTGAAGGTATGGCTTTTGGGAAAAGTCCACAGCTCAATAATAAAGCATCTGCTTTGCATGCAGAAGCTCCCAGGTTCAATCCCTGATATCTCCAGGTAAACCTGGATAAAAGAAACCCTTTTCAAAACCTGGAGAGCCACTTTTTCCTTTTCAAACTTTTAAAATTATTTATTTGAAGCTCTGCAAGGCTGTTTGCATCTCAACGCAAAAAGAAGGCAATATAATGGACAAAGGGAAATGGAATCTAAACAGGGAGCAGGGATTGTTACACACCATGTATAACCATCATATTATTTCACAGCACATCTCAGAAGATTTCGTGGAGAAATGGAAGCATATTGTGCCTCTGCTTATTTTGCACAGCAAAACGCCACAACTTATTTGTCCAAGTACAGAATTATGCATGCTGTGTTAGGTAGCAGAAACGTTTAAGGGCAACTTAACCAAATTGTGGAAACAGAGAGATGATTGCAAGACCAACTTGCTGTGCTAGAGTAGAACATTGCGTGATAACGCCAGCTCATTTTCTGCCCCGGAACTCAGTGTGCACAAGAATCACAAGTTTACTGTATTCAAGGACCATGGAGGCAGAAGAGGCTGTCTCCCATCAAGTCAGACCTATGGATGTAGGAAGGCATCGTTTTCCATTTGATCCTGTATTCGACACCCACAGCTCTATTCCCCTCACAGAGCTCCAATTCCCAGAGTTCTCTGGAAAAAGGAAACCACTCTGGGAATTGTAGCTTTGAGAGGGGGAATAGGGGTCTCCTAATAACTCTAAGCACCATAGAATTCCCATGATTCTTTGGTGGAAGCTGTGACTATCCAAGCAGTATAATAGTGCTTAACAAGTACAGTGTGGGTGTGGCTGCAGTTAAAGTGTGATTATTCCTGACTTTGAATCAACACATAGAAATTAGCATCTCCAAATTTTAGGCAACAATATCTCCTCTCTTGACCGCACCCCTCCCCCCACTGTGATGGCCACCCTACTGTTTTGTACAAGTAATTTGGAAGTAAAGCTCCTTGAATTCAAGAGGGCTCACTCCCAAAGCAAGTGAGAACAGAAACACATCCTAAACAACAGAATATCGGATACTATCAGATACAGCAATGCTCATTACACTTGCATTACACAGCTGCTGCAACTGTTCCAATTTGTCTCTGACCTCTAATGGCCTTCTGCACGAGATAGGAAAAAACCCGTTTTCCTATTCCACAGATCATTGTCTTCCAGTTTGTAAATTCTTCCACGCTCCCACATCAAACACTATCTATTGTGCAATGAGAGGCTTTCCTGAGGCTATTCCACAATTGTCTGCCACAATTTGGCAGCTATTTGCTCATTACCCCACCCCACCTCTGACTTGCATACCTTCAGCAAGCTCAGAGCAATGAAATGTGCATTGGAAACCCAGTGCATGGCATTTAGGTGTACTACGTGCTCTGCGGGGCCAGCTGTACCCTTTTGAGAAAGCTTGGCAAACAGCACAAACCTTCGGGGCAAGAAGCACAGGCAATGGAGAGAATGCTATCCAAAAGTACAGGCGTGTCACTAGCTGAAGAACAGTCCTGCAGTCAAAACAAAGAATACAGCCACCTGCAGAGTTTTTTCTCTCTCCATGTCTCGACATAGTGCCCTGCTGTAAGGCGCTAAGAATGACCTGGCCACACCAGCACTCTGCCCTCCTGTGACTGGCTTTCAGAAGCATATCTGCACACTGAAGGAAGAACATAACCCAGCGCTGAGGGCCTTCTAGCGGTTCCCTCACTGCGAGAAGCGAAGTTACAGGGAAACAGGCAGAGGACCTTCTCAGTGGTGGCACCCACCCTGTGGAATGCCCTCCCATCAGATGTCAAAGAAATAAGCAACTATCTGACATTTAGAAGACATCTGAAGGCAGCCCTTCTTAGGGAAGTTTTTAAGGTCTGATGTTTTAATGTACATATTTTTAATCTTCTGTTGGAAGCCGCCCAGAATGGCCAGCCAGATGGGTGGGGTATAAATAAAATGTTGTTGTTGTTGTTGTTGTTGTTGTTGATGATGATGATGATGATGATGTTTAGGGTTAATACCCTTGATAGCCTTAGTCAACATGATTTTGTCTTAAGGGCACATCCAGACTTTTTTTCACTCCACGTTTCGAAGCGTTGATTGTGCTTTAGGAATTGGGAAAGCCTTTGTTTGGGTGGAGGGGAGATTGTAGCCTCCACCTGCCCCTCCTCATTAAGGGTATCTTGTTAAAGGGATCCAGGGGTGTGGATTCTGTCTGATGCCCAGACGTTGGCTAGGACCATGCCACTACCCCAATGGGGTGCCCCTAATTGATGTAAGTCATAGGGCTCCTCCAATTGGTGGTTTACCCTTAGATGGACTCCCTGAAGACGGGCAGGAGTGTAATATAGCCTGGCTTCACCCCAACGCCTAAGCCAAACCGCTCACATCTGTAACCAATAAAGCAGTGGCCTATTTTGAACCCATAAACCAAAATACTTGTGTCCGTGTGTATATTATCCATCAGGGAACTACGGGTTGCAGGGCCTTGGCACACAAATCTCCATGTCCCAGCAGTCCCCCTCCCTTGTGAAAATACACTCTTAACTGCTGAATCAGAGCAAACGGCAATCCACAGAAAAACCCAAATTGCTCTTTGTTCCAATTCAGCATTAAAGAACAGGTTTTCCTGGGGAGAGCATCAAGGCAAAACAAAAGAGCTTGGATGTGGTACTTTAAAGGGACTCATCCTAAAAAGCATGGTGCAAAAGGTAGGCGCGCATGAGCTCTAATCCTCTTTTAGAGCCACTCAAACTGTTGGCCTCCATAACATTTTGTGAGAGAAAATTTCAGCGTTTAAGTATGTGCCGTGTGAATGAGCGCACAGGTGCTCCCACTGTCTCAATTTACTAGGGCTATAATCTGTATTTTCTGGGATCTGTCCTTTAAAGTAAACTACAGCTTTGAGGACCAATATCAAACTGCAAGAAAAGAGGTTCGTAAGTAAACTGTGGAACTCACTCCCACAGCAAGTGGTGGCGGCCACCAACCTGGGCAGCTGTAAAAGAGAGGATTGGGCAAATTCATGGAGAATAACGCTATCGAAGGCTACTAGCTGCTGTTGCTCTGTTCTGCCTTCAGAGTCAGAGGCAGCACAGGTTAACCTCCCCAGGTTACATTCCAAGACACTGCGTGTTTAAGCGCAATTGCGTATAATTGAAACATCATTGGAAAAGCCTGCAGACATCCCGTCCCACTCCCCACCCCCTTTGGTGACTTTTCAGGTCACTTCTGGCTTCGGCACAGTCGCCCACATATCAGATGCACCTAAAACATTGCAGCCAGTACTGCTTCTGAATGCCAGTTGCTGGAAAATGCAGGAGGGAAGCATGTCTGGCCACTGTGGGAACAGAATGGTGGACCTGATGCACCTACCATGGCCTGGAAGGTGTGTCATAGATTGGACAGAAGGATAATGCAATTTTAATGGTACAGTTATGGAATGGCAGAAGTGTCAATTATATTAATCTGCAACTATACAAAATTTATCTGTGATGGGCTGCTTGATCCTTTGGAAACCAATATTCTTTTTTTTTTAAGATTAATTCTATTTATATATTACAAAAAGAATCATGTGGGGTGTGGGGAATGGCCAGTGACTTTTGGAATGAGAATTAGGGAGTTATGAGCCTGTACCTATTTTTATCTGTGGACATACTGATGGGGTGGGTGACTGGCTGGCTGGGTTGTTGCAAAATCATAACAGTTTCTGGGGAATTACTCCCACAAAACACATCTGTGCCTGGAAGAAACACAACTACTAAACACAAGACCAGGGAGAAGAGTCGGTGGAAGAAGATTGGGAAAAATTTAAAGACTATTTACAGAAACACTGTAAAATTAATGAATGTTAGAAGGATGCTGGAATGAAGTTATATGGCTTTAGCAGAAATGTTATAAAGAATTAAGTAAAAATAGACTGTTAATGGGCTAAAGGGGAAAAAAATAAGGTTAGATTGTGTTAAGATAAATTATAGGACAAAAACTGAGAAAGATGGAAAGGATTTGCTGAAATAGCTAACTGAACTAGAATACAAAAAAGGGAGGTGTGAGGAGGTCGTCGAAACAAGTAAATGAAAGACAAGATATGGAAATATTGGATGTGTTTTTAATTGTTTCTGTTTTTGTTCTTGTTTTTGTTTTGTTAAGATAAGCAGTGTTTTTTGTTTTTTATGTATTGTATTGTATTGTATTGCTTTGTTTAACTCTTTTTTTTCTTTTTGTAACTTTTAAACTCTTAATAAACATTACTTTAAAAAAAAAAAAGAAACACAACTACTAAACAACAACAAAAGTACTATTAGGATCTGCCTCACCGTGGGCCCTTTTTGTTCTGGCATCTAGTGCCATGTTCTTGTCAAGTCAACTTAAGGCAACAAAAATCCAAACAGATCCTTGCCCATTAAAACTCCATTGGCGGCATTATGCATGTAGCTTTTTTCAAGCGGAAGAGACTGCAATGCATTTTTAAAAAGTTTTTTTAAAAATAAATAAATGGTACTTTGTCTTCTCAAGATCAGCTTTAATAAATTATCACCCTTTAGCTCAAAATACAACTTTTCTCATGCTTGTGTATCTGTGAAAGCCCCCCTGCTGGGAAGCAAAAGAAATATTCACATACTCCTTAACATCTCATTCTCTCTGACATGCTGCATGGTGCTATGAGTTCATTTGGGGGTAGGTTTATTCTAAATGGGGAATAAACCCCGAGGAATAAATTTGCAAGCCATCCCTGTTTGTTTTAGAAGGGATGAACAAGACCAATATGATACAATGAATCACCGTGGGTTCACAGGAGCCCAAAAGGTCAGGTCTGCCTGAAACCTGGTTGAAACAAGCCTTAATGGCCATTGGTTGAGGTGCTGTGATGTCATGGAATGCTCACCTATTCAGAAGTGGTCTGTAACTAATTTACATGGCAAAGGACTTCCCTGTGGTTCCCTGCCAATATTTACATTATACTGATATGACCCAGTGACAGACAGCTCTGGGGAACTCATTCTGGGCTGCTAGCCTTACCCACATACCTGGGAGCATGTCCCACTGAACAATCGGTTACACAAATTCATGGAACATAATGTCATCAGCAGCTACTAGACAGGATACCTATGTTCACACTCTGCTATTGGATGTGTTATAGCAGTTTGCAGGGAATCACAGGTGGGAAGAGTCCTGTTGGGCTCAAGTTCTAAACTAAATGAGTCCTGGTCCTGGTGCACCAGAATTCTTATGCACTTATGAAATGGTAAACATGCCTAGGATTTTGCTGTTAGAATTTTGTTCTCGTCTTCACCCCCATCACACACACCCAGTTAAAATGAACTCAAGTTTGCAGCATCTGCAGCACTAGAAACATCACATCACTAATCTACTAATCTGCACAGTGGTGTGGGAGGGAGAGGAAGCAGATACACAGAAGCACATTTCAATATAGCTCATCTGCTAAAATGGAAAAAAACAAACAAACCCTGCTTTGTTTCATACATCTCTGTCACACAGTCCCAACTCATGCCAAAAAATCTCACCAGGAACAGAGGTGGAGAGTTCTGCCAAACACACTGTTATGATGAATGGAAGTTGGATTGGGTGCGCCCTTTAAGGTGAGGACTGTTGTACCTCCAGCTCCTTCCATCATAATTCTAAAATTGTACACAGTTTTCTCAGGCCATCTTTTTTCCCCCACTTGATTTGCTCATGT